TTTTAAAGCATTTGCTGCATGGATAAAAAAAATAGGCTAATAAATAATTCACATATACAAAATTGTGTTGCAGCAAATCCTTTGAATTTGAAGGTATTCAGAACAGAACAACATAAAAATCAGAAAATATAAGCAGCTATAGACTACAATTATAGGACAAAGTTTTACATATGTGCCATTATAATTTGTGTTTGAATCATTTAATTGTATATACGGAATTATAAAATAAAACGCAAATTATAATCGGCCCTTTTTTAGGCTTTTCCTTATTTTTATATTTTAGACATCCATATGGTGATGAAAAAAATGACTCGTTGTCTCCTCATTGGATGTGCCTTTAGAGAGAAATGCACGGATTACATAATGAAAGAGTTTCTATTATTGCGTTTTAAAGTAGTAATTTAAAGCATTCTATATCATTTCTATCATGTCTGTGAGGCAATTCGCGGAGTTTAGGTTCATCATTGTGAAGCATCCTGTTCACGGCAGCGTTTGTTTTCTTTATTTTATAAAAGCACAACGTTTTGTTGATATTGTGAGTGCACACAAATAAAACTAGCCCCTTTACAGTTTAGTATGATGCTAATAAATAATTCACATATCATACAAAATTGCGTTGCAGCAAATCCTTTGAATTTGAAGGTATTCTGAAGATATAAAAATCAGAAAATATAAGCAGCTATAGACTACAATTATAGGACAAAGTTTTACATATGTGCCATTATAATTTGTGTTTGAATCATTTAATTGTATATACGGAATTATAAAATAAAACGCAAATTATAATCGGCCCTTTTTTAGGCTTTTCCTTATTTTTATATTTTAGACATCCATATGGTGATGAAAAAAATGACTCGTTGTCTCCTCATTGGATGTGCCTTTAGAGAGAAATGCACGGATTACATAATGAAAGAGTTTCTATTATTGCGTTTTAAAGTAGTAATTTAAAGCATTCTATATCATTTCTATCATGTCTGTGAGGCAATTCGCGGAGTTTAGGTTCATCATTGTGAAGCATCCTGTTCACGGCAGCGTTTGTTTTCTTTATTTTATAAAAGCACAACGTTTTGTTGATATTGTGAGTGCACACAAATAAAACTAGCCCCTTTACAGTTTAGTATGATGTATTACTCTTACCTTTATGAGCAAAAATGACTGCGTATTTTAAGTTGTTTCCACTGTAAGACAAAAATGCAAGCGATCGCGCTGGCGCCTCCGTGTGCTGCAGAGCTTCAGCTTCCACTCTCCGCACAAACGAGTGGATATGCGTCTAACAGCGCACATTTATCTAGGTTAAACATTTAAACTAACATTGTGATATGCTAGAACTGTTTTATATATAGATTTTATTTTATGCACGTCCTGATGATTTGAGAAGGCTAAATTGATCAAACATATAGGCTATGATCAATTCACTGTCTACAGCTGGCCATTACTTAAAAACAAAAAACAAACTTACATTTAACAAACAAAAACTGCTCCAAACGTTTTTCTAAATTTACTTTATAAAAAAACGAAACGAAATATAATCACTTTTTCATTACATACAAAACTGAACTATTTTAATAGCTGAAACAGTAGTATAAGCCCCTTTACAGGGGAAGTCGTGGCCTAATGGTTAGAGAGTCGGACTCGTAACCCAAAGTTGAGGGTTCGAGTCTCGTACCGGCAGGGATTGTGGGTGGGGGGAGTGAATGTACAGCGCTCTCTTCCACCTGTGTGTGTGTGTACGCACTTTGGATGGGATAAATGCAGAGCACTAATCAAAAAAAGAGCACTAAGCTTTTTTTTGGGAAAAGGGGGCTAGGGCCCCTATATTTGAGGCCCGTGCAGGGCTCTAATCCACTTCATCCAGCGCTGTTTTGTTCTCATCTGTGAGCATGCTCTTGCTATACTGTGTGTGTGTTTTACCATTTTCGAACATTCGTTATGCTCTCACTGGTCATTGGGATCATTAGGTGTGCAAATGTAGGCTATAATGGCCTTTTCTTAATTTTTTCAGTTTTATTTAAATTTGTAGTTAAAATAACTAAAAATAAATGTATTTTAAAGTTTAGAATTAGACAGCCTTTGCACACAGGCTTACGCTGGTAACTCATCAGTGGACTTTCCTCGTCAGTATAGGCTATATTTTTTCACACTTTTCTCATTTTATATTTCTGACGTTCCAAAAGCGCCTCCTACTGGCAGAGAATGAACGTTCATTTTCAATAATCCAGTCTGTAGTTTTTGTTCAGATCAATGCAAAAATTCACCCACATAACCCCGTTTTAAATTAATATAATAATTTATACTTCTGACTCACCCCTAGTTTAAACGCTCAGTTGTGAGGTTTATCATTTTATAATTTCTTTAGTTTTTGTGAAATCCTGAATCTCAACTGTAAATCGGTTGATATTTCGTGGTCTACAACATGAAAGAAAGCCATTATAACATGTACATGAAAAATGTAGAAACATTGGACACAACTATGGGGCACCATTGTGCAGCAGCAACCATCACAACAAAAAAGGAACCCTATACTGTGTGTGTGTTTTACCATTTTCGAACATTCGTTATGCTCTCACTGATCATTGGGATCATTAGGTGTGCAAATGTAGGCTATAATGGCCTTTTCTTAATTTTTTCAGTTTTATTTAAATTTGTAGTTAAAATAACTAAAAATAAATGTATTTTAAAGTTTAGAATTAGACAGCCTTTGCACACAGGCTTACGCTGGTAACTCATCAGTGGACTTTCCTCGTCAGTATAGGCTATATTTTTTCACACTTTTCTCATTTTATATTTCTGACGTTCCAAAAGCGCCTCCTACTGGCAGAGAATGAACGTTCATTTTCAATAATCCAGTCTGTAGTTTTTGTTCAGATCAATGCAAAAATTCACCCACATAACCCCGTTTTAAATTAATATAATAATTTATACTTCTGACTCACCCCTAGTTTAAACGCTCAGTTGTGAGGTTTATCATTTTATAATTTCTTTAGTTTTTGTGAAATCCTGTATCTCAACTGTAAATCGGTTGATATTTCGTGGTCTACAACATGAAAGAAAACCATTATAACATGTACATGAAAAATGTAGAAACATTGGACACAACTATGGGGCACCATTGTGCAGCAGCAACCATCACAACAAAAAAGGAACCTCAAGGTTGATCTAGGAAAATGTGTGCAAATGTATAGGGCCCCATTCATATATTTTGCCTGGGGCCCCCAATTCACTAAATCCGCCCCTGTGTGTGTGTGTGTTGAAGCTGAGTTGCTACTACTCTGTTACTACTTTTGTGCTCTGATGCTCAGAGTTGAAATGGTACGAGTTGGTAATTACTACAGCAAGTCATTGTCATAAAGTGGCCTGTGAAACTCACTTTAAGCAGTTCCCCCTTTAGATCTGCCTAGAAAGTGTCTGTCTGCTTCATGTTGCTGTAAATGTATATGGCTTATATACAAACGTACGACTGTATGTTAAGACAGCAGACTTTTGTACTGCATTTCTTGTGCATGCTCCATTAATGGCAGAGTTGGAGAATGATCAATGTTGCCAGCTCATGCATTGTGTAGATGACTATAGAAGTCTAAAATATTGAGAATGTCCTGAATGTGACCACATTTTGAGAAAACCAATTGACTTTGTTTATTCGTGGGTTTTCTTTGAACGACTGCCTGAATGAGCATTGCAGTAAATCAAGTTATTTATGTAAAGCTGCTGCCTATATGGAAGAAAATTTTAACTTAAAATAAAGGGTTTCAAAGTATTGTTCTCTTCACATGATGTTCGTATGGAATGTTTTTCTTGCTCTTTTGACCTGAAAGTGAATTGGCAATGAAACTGTATGGTATAAAGCTGGTTGTGCACTGAACAGTGTTAGAGAGTTAACTCTCACTTCTTATTTTTAATGTTTCCTCGTACGTGGTATATTAGAGAATTAACTCTCACAAAAACATTTTAACTCTTCATTGATTAAAGTTGTATATTACAAAAACAATTGGGCCTCAGGTACAATAATGTGTACAATAATAATAATAATAATAATAATAATAATGTATTAATACTTTGTTAATAGCATTATTATTATTATTTGTGTTGATACTTTTTTAATTCCTACAGTTCAATTTTTTAAACACATTCCAACATGTAAATAGATATAGGGAAACATACTGGAAAGTGTAGTATAATTGAAATGGGTAGGGAAGTT